CAGGAGAGGAACAGAACTCTGATATCCACTTCTCAACCAAGGCGACAGCCCCCTCTCCCCACGCCTGCACATGAAGTGGCAGCTTCTTCTCTGCAAATGCTGATTCCCAGAGAAGCAGCTGTCCACCACTGCCGGCGTGGGGTACCTCCAGTTGTCAGGTAATGGGGTTAAAGCCATCAGGAGAGCGTCCCTTTTCACAGAGCCTCCTCAAAGGGTGGACCTCACCACCACAGGTTGTTGGAAGCCAAATCTGAAATATGTTAATAACTCGACAACCTCACGGCAGACAGGAACATCACGAAGGACCAAGCGCAGCATCATGCAGGCAGCTGCTGACTCAGGAGGTCCCTACGTTGCTGGAAGCACTAAGGAATCACCCAGAAGGATTGCTCTGTATCTGCGCTGTTTCTTACAGAAACACTGCAGCCCACGTGGGGTATATAGTATTACAGCCTAGAAAAAGCAACAAGGCTAAGAACGCACTAGTGTAATCTGCCAGAGATACAAATGTGTCAGCCGAAGAGCGTACATATCTGTCGATGGATTCCCTAGAAGCACATTCTATGATGAAGAAGGCTTTTTAGAAGAGATTTTTTTTTTCTTGCTTTTGCAGTTGTCATTTTCAGATAAGCCCAAGACAGGCAAGTACAAGCCTGGGGTCAGCAAATACTCATAGGAAATGCTGGGTCTGGCTGTACAGGGACCGGGGAAACTCAGCAAACTGCACCTCCTCAAATCAACCTGTCCTCTTTCAGCCCCTGCGTGCCTGCCCCCACCAACAGTCCATCGTTGGCAAACAACCTAACTTACCTTTTAACTCCATTTACTTCATAAGGAAGGATACCAGGGTTTGGGAGATCACAGAACTACAGCTCAGAGGGACATCAAGAACTCACTGACCCCTTCCCTTGGCAAGATCACCTCAACCTAAATAACTGCTGATGGACACACACCAAACCTGTTCTCACAAACCTCCAAGGATGGAGGCTCCAAACCTCCCTAGCAAAGCACTGCAGCAGATTCCTAATCTCTACTGTCAGAACACTCTTCCCAGGAGAAGGAAAATATGAATCTCACCCACTAGTAGCTGTAGGGTCCCTCTCAGTTAATGGGGAAGGATAGAGAAGGGGCAGACAAACCTCTTCCAGAGGGAGATTCATCCCCCATCACCCAGTGACTCAGGGCTGCAGTCCAACACCAGTTGAGGACACCCACCACAAGGACGGTCAATGTTCAGGGAAATGAAGCCCCTCTCCTGCTGCCCAGGCTAAGCCTCCCTCCTGCAATGTCATCTCCTCTCCTGATTTTGAAGGACCTGCATGTGCTTTCAGGGGTTTCCAAAAGGGAACACTGGGAAGTCACTCCAGGCTACTGTCCCAGTTTCTGCATAACTTGAAGATAGCAACTAGCACTCTGCATGCAGGATAGATGGATAAAAAATGTCACTGTGTTGAGTGCCCCAGACAACAAGCAGGGAGTAGCAAGCTCACCGGTGTGGTTTGACACAGCAATACAAACCCAGCTGACAAATCAGGTAATACGATTTCCTGGGAACCCAGGCACGATCACACGGCATCAAGCAACACATCCTTGTATCTCTCTCCCTGTCTCCATTCCTGCTGTGCCTACAACCACAGAGCTGCCCACAGCATATGCATACCTTTAGCCTGTGTCCTCTGGACCACAGCGCTCAGACAGACCGGTTTTGCTCACAGAGCAAGTGGAATGAGAGAAAACCACTCAACTCATTATATCCTGAAGCTGAGTAAAGGATGATTTCTCCATGGCCACCATGATGAGGACCATCTAAGCAAGCAGCTTCTGTTGGTGCTGGAGGGCTGGCTAACTCAGCAAGCACCATGATCTTGTTTCTCTCTACTCTACGTCCAGGGTCCCTTTCTGCAATCTCAGCCTTTCCTTCATGTTAATCCAACACAGCAACAGGAGACAGAGATGGAGTCTGCTCCAGTGGATGTTTCATCCCCAGAACTTGGAGCTGGTTTGATGCATCGAGCTCTAGTTCCTAAGTTAGAGCGCCCAGCAGCCATTTGTAGATTTAAAATGTGGTTAAAAATGTCTCTCCCTCTTCCTTACCAACAGAACAGTTATAATTTGGAATTGGACATCAAGAGCCAAAAGTAAAAAAATTCTATTTTCAGAACGCCTAAGCGCTTTAAAGATTCAATCTTCATCAGTCCCATAGACACCACCGAAGTCAGAGGATATTAGAGATGCTCAGATTATTACAACATCATATCCTATAAAATATTTAAACCTTAAACCTTTTAAAAAACACTTCACCTCCCCTGGTCCATAGACAGAAGCGAGCACCAAATTTCACCCTGTCTTCAGTTCCCCGCAGAGGTTCAGAAGTGCTCCCAGGCACTCTGAGCCTTCAGTTCCAGGGCCTTGTTGAACAACACACGGTCCTCCCTGTCTCATAGACACACTCACACTCTAATTTAATATTAGATCTCGGCTGGGCACATAAACCACAGGTACACAGGAGAAAGGGGACTTTTCACCAGCAGGGATGGCAGATCTCCAGAATGTTCAAAAGGGGCCGGAAGCCCGACACAACCCGCCCGCCCCAACTCCTATTAACTCCAACAAATTGTTTATTGCACAACAGAAGAAAAATGTTGCCCCTCTCCCCCAGCCAAGTCTTTCCATGTGTGCTGCACGCGTAGGCTCCCTCCTCCCGCCCCCGCCGGGGAGCCAGCTTTATACCCAGGGAAAGGTAACAGCAGCGATTATTACACACACTATCCCACAGCTCCTCGCTTGTTAAAAAAAACAAGAGTCTCTTTTGTGCCCGAAATAAAAGGAGATACCTTAATTAGAACAATGCAGGTTGGTGAGCATTAAACACTGAGCCCAGCTGCTGTATGCCATTAAATTCATAAAAAAGGAGGGGGGAAGGAGGGCAGTCTTAACGAGATTACACACATTGACTTTGATCAAGACACAAAAGCACCAAGGCGTTCCAGGGTTTTTATTGCTGTCTTCGGGCTACATTTTAATGGTTACATTAGAAACATGCGAACACAGGCTGGGAGATTTTTTTTTTTTTTTTTTTTTTTTTTTTTGTGTAAAAAAAAAAAAAAAAAAAAAAAAAAAAAAAAAAAAAAAAAAGTTCTAGGAAAAATATTAAACCCTGGTATAATCTGTGTTTTGCATAAGGGATGTCATCACATTCAGCAGCAACAAAGTTCCTTTGAAAAAAAAAAAACGGAAACAAGGGGGGGGATTTTTTTTTTTTTTTTTTTTTTTTTTTGAGACGGGAGAGGGAGTGCAAGCATGCCTCGTGAAAAGGGCTAGTTTAATAAATTGGGGGCTGCAGGGAGAGGCTAGGACTGGGGAACACATGAGTAGCCACTTATTAATTGCTTCCCCTATGCAAGTGCCAAGTCCTAACATGATGTCTTGCTGGACTATTCCCATCCCGCCTGCCCGGTCGGCAGAAGAGCCATGTGCAGATAGCACACAGCCAGCTCCATCCCTACCCTCCTCACGGATATCTAGGGGGGAAATTATTTCTCCCTGATCCCACAAAGGTAAATGCCAACCCCTGAGCACCTGGAGTGGGGTTCCCCACTCCTCACGAGCGGCCGTGACCGCTGTGCATGAAACAAAGGGGGCCTGACCGAAGTTGAACTAAGCTGCTGCTGAGCCTAAGAACAGCCTGAAATCGGTGCCACAGATTTAGAAGATGACTTGAGGCTGCCGGGATGAGGAGAGGACAAAGACTTCAGAGCAAAGAAAATGAAAAAGAAATTAGTGTTTTATCCTCTGCTTGGAGCACCGCTGAAGGACAAAATTACTCTTCGCTTAGCAAAGGTGGCAGAGCACACATTCAGCCAAACACCTCACAGCTCCGTACCCACATATGTGTCTTTTATAACATGCTGCTAAAATGTTTACAAAAGCTTGTATAATCTAAATAGTGACGGGGTGTAGCTGAAGAGCTATAAAATACAGCCCAAGGGATAGCCAAGTTATTGAGTTGCTATTAGTACTCAAGCCCACAGGCACTTCACCGTCCTGGTAACTTTTCTTGGACAAGACTTTTAAAAGGCAGGATTTAAAGGAGCATGATCGGCTTAATCGTAATTCCAAGCACACAACATGTTCTATAAAGTAGATTTTGTAATGCCTTACAGGAACAGTTTTTAGGAGTGGCATTCCCTTACATTTTTTGCAACCCAACACTGTATCATCTTGCTAACAGGAGAACTAGAAAGCACAACCGACTATTTTCCACTCCCCAACCTGAGCAAAATGAAAGCTCAAAAATCAGCTGCACAAGGGACATTAAAGGCTGATTATAAAGCCCCCAGTTTTAACACAGGAAAGGAAAACACTTTATTTAATAACACTGTAAATTTTAACCTGATGTCCTTTAATACACGTATAAATTACTACTGCACTGGGTCACCTATTCAATATTCAAAGTAGTCCCCAATCTTCCAAACAGAATGGCATAGGCTTGAAAACCGCACAGTGCTATTTCAAATAATCTTAAAAATACAGATTCATATTCATAAACGCTCCCTTCCATATCATCTATCCTGAAGATGATTCCCTTTGCTTCAGGGGAATATTAGGTTTCTCAAAAGCTACCCATTCCATGAAATCTCAGTGGATTTGGCCTCCATTCTCACAGCTTTACCTTTCTGCATGGATGCCCCACAGGAAATTACTGTAAGGCAAGGTTGTCCCCAGCACAGAACTCTTACATGAGCAATGGCTGTCCCCACAGTGACAGAAGAGCAAAGAAGGGGCAGGACTACACCTCAGTCACGACTCAAACAGAACTCACTCAAGCCAAAGCTGGACTGGGGTGTTAAACAGCAAGGCTTGGAAAGTCTGCATGCACAGCACTCAAGATTGTTTAAAATAAAGCAAAAAGCACCTTTCCCCATGGTGATTTAAATAAAGTACCCCAGAAGAGAGGGAAAAACTCTGTAAGTCAACAAGAAAGTAGCCAAGAGCCTCACCAGAGTCCGCAGCCAGCATTCTTCACAGTGCACGTGCCAGCACTGAATAGAAGTCAGGGGCATTGTGTAGGAGTCCTGAGGAGAAGAAGCAAACAGGTTATTTCCACAGCAGGGATCTACTGATTCTTTGCTCCCAACCCCATCACAACGCCTTTCTTTGTGGGTAACACAAAGTACCTTGCACTTTGTATTACAAAAAAATAAATTTGTGTAATATGCAAGTAGTAAAGGCAGAAAGTTTCCTGCAGTCCATTTTTCTGACTTCCCAGAACTCCTGTTGGAAGCCCATAATCTACTCAAGTGGTGACCTGGCTCAGCACAGTTATCACAAGAGCATCTGAAGTTGCCGTGGCCGCCTGCTATTATTCTCATCAGAAAGGTCACCAGATCATACAAAAAAAACAGTGACAGGGTAAGATTAACCCTTATCACAACTCTCAGCTCTGCAGGAACAGCTTAACCGCATCCCAAGAACGCTGCTGCTATTTCAGCAGACGTGCCTTTGCTTGAGTATTTTCTGTCATTGCTCACAAACCTCTGGAAATGAGCAGCAAGCTGTCACCCCTCCTGTGGGATGAGAGACGGGGACTGCACCCCCATGCCCACGGGTGGGGAGCTGGGAGAGAGAGCACCACGCACCAAGCTGAAATTGCAGAGGGAGCCCTTCGCCAAGCAGAATTTTCTCCCTCTATCAGCAAAATTAAAACCTAACAGGAGATGGGAAGCTTTGCAGGCTCAGACCATCAGAGGGAGCTGCTGCCCTTCTTTAAGACGGCCACAGCATCACCACAGAGCGAGCAGGACATCCACAACTTTTAAACGCCCAGGCAGCATTCCTCTCATCTCTCTGTCCACTCTGCTCTACCCCGTGGATGTAAATCTGCACACGCAGGAAGAGAACGCTGGAATCTGGGAGTTTTTTACAGGAAGGCTGAAAGTCTTCCCGAGTTGGGGCAAGAATACAGATAGACAGCTACAAATACCAATGAAACCATGTAAGGCATACAGGAATTTAAAAAGACCTAGCACCTTCATTTGGAAAGCCGATTGGTGTATAGGGACAAAGATGAGTTCCCCCACTCCACCCAAAAAAGAAGAAAAGCTTCTCCCCTCCTCAGCAAAGATACCAAGACATTTCTGATTCATTACCACAAGTGGAGTGCTACTCACCATGCAAATGAGACATTTATAGCGGTCCCCACGGGAAAGCTGCCTTTCTAACTCACGGACACGAGCCTTTAACGCTTCAAATGTTGTCACTGCAGAGTCTTCTGTAATTCTGCAAAAGATGATGGAGAGTGAGCATCACTGAGCACACAAGATCGTTAAGAGTTCAGGGGAAAAAGGATCCCACAACAGGTACCGCGCAGGAAACGGCAACACTCGAACTAATACATCCAGTTTGTGGTGAAGAAGAATTCCTGAAAAGCCCAGCGGGAATTCTTTGAGGTGTTCTACTAAACACTTCCAAACACATCACAACAGAACACAATGGGGCTGGGGTCGCCAACTTCATACAGAAGGAGTTTCCACAAGACACAGACGTTTAAAGAACAGATTTTTTTTTTTTGTTTTGTTTTGTTTTGTTCTCTGCTTCTTTTCTTGTCTCCCTTAAGAGATTCATTAGGGCCAAATGCTTTGAACAAAGTTCTGTATGTTGAGATAACTTTTTGTGGGCAACAGGAGCTGCTCTCCCCCTTAGAGAATCTTTGCTGGCCATTGACCTCATGAAACACAAAATCAACTCATGACACAGATCAACACAATGCTTTTATATTGAAGAAACCCCTTGTTTTTTGGGTTGTACTACTGAAAAAAAAAAAAAAAGGAAGGAAGAAACCAAAAGCAATGGACACTGTGCCAACAGGGTGGCTATAAAAACAGCTTCACAATCTCTGCTTTCCCATTTCTTAGGGTCATTTTTGATGGGCAGCATTATCTCTTTTGTCACAGAGGTGCTGTGCTGAGGGCAGGCAAGTGTATTTTCATGGTTCTGCAAGGCTGGTGAAAAGAGCAACTTGCCAACCTAAAGGCAAGGGCAGACAGCAATGCTTAGCAAATGAGATGCAGGGAGCATTACAGACAAGGATGTGTCACTCCAGCATGCTGGAAAACCCTATTTCAACATAGTGTAGACATAGGGAGGGGCCCTCAAACATTCCCCAGAAAAGGTTCAGAGTATTGCACTGACATTAAGGCTTTCAATCTTGCAAAAGAACAAACCAAACCAGCTATTTTCATGTATGCCAGTCAATTTCAGACCTGTCCAAGCAGACCCCAGCTCAGAAGAACCTGAAGAACTTGCCACCAGAAGCTGCATCAATCACAACATAATCCACAAACAGCACCTACGTGTTCTACCTTTTTAGAGGATGATTCACAAACAGGTGGCTAAAACATGGGTCTGGTGGAATTACTACAACCAATAAAGTGAGCTGCAATCTCAGCACTCCCACCGCATGCACAGACTTGTTCCTTTGTTCATCAGTCACTTGTCGCCAGCACGCAGGGAGGGACCTGAGGCATCTCCCATGAGGAGATTCTGCTGGCTTTTCCCAAGGCTCTGGAAACAGAACTAGTCAAAAAGATCTTAAGTGATTTTTCTAATTACGACACTTCAGAAGGCACTGGAGCTGCAGGAGTGCACATGGTTAAGTACCAGTGTTATAAAGCTCCTCCAACTTCACTCCTACCTTTGTACAGATCAGACACTCTGCACGAGCTAACCGAGGTGAGACCTTCATCAGAAGGAGATTCATTGCAAATGACAGTTGCTATGAAATGGTAACAATTTCAAAACTACATAAAAGGCGAAGAAATACAGGTCCCGTGATAGCCTAGTGGGTGAGGACTGCCTGGGGACGGGGACACTGTGGATTCAAGTCTTGGTATCAATAAATATTCTTTGGAGCAAAGTGAAAGAGCTTCAGTAGGAGACAGTGCTCCCCGCTGTGCAACACCCACTTGCTCCTGCTCATTGGTATAAATCATTATCATCTCCCAGTGTGGGTTCTCACCCTCAAGGAAGAGTTGTTAGTGTTTTCAAAGAAAGTCTGGAAAGATGTTAGTTTAGTCCAAGGAAGAAACAGAATTATTTATTTATAGCTTGAAGATTATTGTCAGATGAGAAAATTGTTGCCCTTCCAGTCTGGCCCATCAACAAGCTGATGCTGGATGAAGGCTGCAGCTGAATTTGACTTTCTGGAACCCATTTCTCCTTCCTGCATGCATAAGGATACTGAGGTTTAAAAGGCAGTGAGTGCACCTCCTGCCCAAAGTCAGTGGCAAGCAGAACCTCACTCTTGCTAAATTCTCCTGTTACTATCCATGGAGCCACCTGTCCTCCTCTGAAGGGCAGGCGGCTCAGCAAGGAAAGGGAAAAGTGGAATCCTTGAGCACATCCAAGCAAAGGCCAATTCATCCCCAGTCCCAGCCCAATAACAGTCAAAGATTGAAAAGGAAAAATTTGCCTCTGCAACAACTGGAGGGGATAGAAAATGGCTTGTTTATAGAAGTCTAAATGGCTGACCCCCATCGGCCAATTTCGGAAAGTCTCTGAGATAATCGCACCTGTCCAGTAATAAACGAATGAATCAGAAAAGGAGGCTGAATAGAGGTATAAGCAATAATGCTCAGAGGCTGCCTGATACAATGGCCAATCAATAGGAGGGCTGTAGATCAGGGTGCTAGTTAGCTGGAAAATTACCGCACCGCTGCGTGCGTCACGCTGTAGGGATCCTGGACAATCAATGTGGGAGGTATTGATTTAGTTATTATCACTTCATACGCTCCAGACATTGTTAAATATACATTTATTAACAAGACTGGGGTGCATTGGTAAGAGAGGGAGCTTTTGCCACGGCAATATCTCCCAGCACTGAACAAAGCTCAGCTGTGACAGACTTTAAAGTCCACGTTCTCCCTGCCAAGTGTGCTCTCAGGACAAATCCTGACGCACGGCATAGTGCCGAAGACGCAGCTCCCATCTCACAACAGAGATATTCTGGCCACAAGTGAGTATTTTGCACTTGAGATTTCAGGAAAGCCTCCCGGAGCAGCAGCAACCAGGGACGTGGCGGCCAAGGGTCAACCCAAAGCGAGCGATAATTGCATGGTTGCTTCCGAAAAGCCGGAGGAAATGAGGTCAAGGGAAATAGGGAGAACATTAGTAAATAAAGGAAACTGGAACTACCTCCAGGGATGGAATAAAGACAAGAGTCACTTCCCATGTGTCTGGCTCCCGTGGTGGCCAGCGCACTTGGGACACATGCCATTCCATTTAGTGACATTTTACCGTCAACCTGCTGCTTGTATCCTAAAGATAAGCATCACTTTGGAGCAACTCTTCCTGCAGCAGCAATCTTGGGAACTCCCTCAGGCTTCCCTCTTGACGTGCACACCTCGTGTGCGCTTGCCCGGACACAGCTGGGAGCAGCCTGGGCAGAATTTTTACAGGGTAAGGCCAGGGTGGAGCAAAGGTCAGAAAGCCAAGCTCCACGGAGAGGGTAAGGCTGTGTCCGAGTCACCCTGCCAAGGGAGGCAGAGGGAATTACAGGGAAGAAGGAATTGGCTTCCACAGCCCCGCTCGCCTGGCTTTGCCTTGACCTCATGCTGGATCTGGGAGGACTCTTTTAACAATTTTGCGCCTCAGCGCTCTGATTTGACGTGTTTGGATAACGTCATTTATCAGTCTCCAGAGAGACCCTGCTGAGCACAACCACTGCCAAGAGCTGTGCCTCAAGCCCCACTGCTGGTGCTTCTCCAACCACACAGGTGTGAGCAGCCTCATCGATACCTGCATTGTCCTTCCTGGCTGAGAACGTATCATGATGGCACATCCATGCTCTGCTCACTGTGGACCTACATCACCACAAGCAGGTGAACCTGAGCCAGGTTTATGCAAGAGCAAGAACACGAAGGGCGGGCTCCTCACCGAGGAAGGCTGGTCCTGCACTTCTCTCTGGGCTTTGTGGGTAACTCTTCAACAACTTAGCAGTCACCCCTGAGGATTTGGGGTACCAGGGAACAAGTCTATGAGACTGGACAGACAGCATATGGTAGTTTTCAGCCTTTGTGCCCAATGCACGTTTTTCTATTGAAAATAAGAACAAACTTTCTTCCGCTGAGCAAATCCTTGCTTTGTTCAAGTGAAAGGCCAGAAGAAGGGCACAAAAATACCACGGAAGAGGAAAAAGGACCTATCTGTAGCTGTGAGCTGTTACTCAGCAATTGCCTCCAGGGAAATCTCCCCTGGGAACTGGCTGCCCACCACCCCCCTCCCCGGCTCCTTTGCAAAAAAACTTAAACCCAAACGCTGGTTATTTGTCAAACATTAGCATGCATGTGATCTTTGTTTCTCCAAATTAAATCGAGCAATTCCTACCCGCTGTCCCAGTGGGCAATCACAAGCAATTCCGTTAATTAAATTATCTCTGATTCTGCAGCTCTGGAATCTCTCAATTGACTAAGTCTGTGCTTTATCATCAACAAAATACTGGACCAAAAAAGGAAACAAAAAAATGCTGATGTCAAAGTGATTGGCTTCAGTTAACCCTTCCCAGCTGGATATTAAGGGCTGCTCAAGAAACTGTTGGACTGGAACGAGCCCAAGAGCGAGAGCCTCGTACCAGAGATACCAGTAGCAGCTGTTCACTTGTGTTTCCTTTCCATTGTACAGGAAAAAAAATAAAGCAGCATACCATCACTCCATCCAGCACCCTGCCTATTTGAGCCACAGAAAGATGCAAACTGTTAGCTGCTGAAGGAGGAAAAACACCTCAAAGATCAGAAAGCCCCATCCTCCCCTTATCCAGATCTCACTTGATGCACCCCACCGTTGAGGAGTCTCCATAAAACATTCCCCTTTGGTTTATTTCAACTGGATATAAATTTTCCTTTCTTCATAAACAGCCACACTGTACACAACATTCCATAAATTTTTACAGTTCCACTGTTTGTATGTACCTTGTAAAAAACGCTTAGCACTGATTAAATGCACCACCAATAAAATTTCATGGGCTACTTTTGACACTTGATATTCTGACCTTCCTCTCTCTTCGTCATACATTTATTTTTGGGTTTTGTATGCCTGTAAACACAGAGCGGCAGAGGGGAAAACGTACAGTACCACTGACAGACCCGAGAGTGATGTCTTTATTTTTAAACAAAGCCTTTATCTTCCCTCATCCAAGGTGCAGAACCTGATCCCAGCAGAACATACATGCCATCTCCCTGCACCGGGGGCAGAGGTCAGGTCGCCAGCAGCTTACATATCATAAA